GAAACTTAAAAGCAAGTGCTGCATTGGTACTGTCAACACTGATATTCTTTATGACCTAGGAGCCCAGTGCAGATGGGATCCTGTTGTGCTGCAGACTGTTCTAAGATGTGGGATAATACAGTTTGTGTCACCAAATATTTGCAGTCTGTCAGAGGGCTTCTCTCTGATTTAGCAGCTTTGTTATTGGCTGCTGAACAGGCTTCCTTGCTCAAGGTTACTACCCTGTGAGGAGAGGTAGACATAAATTTTGTACGAGCTGCTCAGCCTTAACTGTTCACACTTAGACATTGAAGTTTTTAGAAATACTGTTAAACCTAGTTAAACCTCTCTACTAGATCCTGCCATGTACATACTATTACAACAATAAGTGATGGAAGGAGGGCAGTGCAGGTATAAGAGGTTTGGGACATTACACAGGTCGTTCAGGTTTTATGTGTATGTTGCATGATTCAACAACATTAATGTTGCCAGAAATAGTATTTTTTTTTTTTGTTCACTTATGTGTCTCTTCTCATCACTTTCCTAAATGCCACTAGAATAAAATTCTTGTCTGCTTTTCACAAAAGGTTAGGGATAGAGTTTCACTTCGTCTTGGTAGTTTTCAAGTTTTACTGAGTTCTTGTTGAGGTTTTCCTCAAAAATGTCTCCTTTTTCCAATTTAGTGTATTAACTTCCCTATACTGTGGTTGCTGTACCTTTACATCTCTGGAACAAAGACTAATGCCCTTGTTCTCTAGCATAAGTGGATAATCTGACATCAGATGGCAGGAAGACCAAAGCATGTTGCTGCGTCTCTGTTGAATGTCATCCTTCTGAGGCTAAGGCTATCTGATTGCTCCAGCATCCCTGTACTTTGTTTCCTTTCTCTTAGTGCAGAGGTCCTAATGAGAGACACAAGCAGGAAACTTCCCAAATCCACTGAAAGGAGAAGCAGTATAGAAAGAACAAGGTGCACTTTAAAAACACTTTCCAGATTGTTAATCCCTCCTGCGTCTATGGCTCTCCATAGCACCCATTAAAGAACACAGAATTGATAGCTTATCGTTAAATCTGTTCCTAGTGCTGGCAGCTGTACTGTACACATCTGATTTCAGACAGGTTCACAAGCCCCTGTCGAGTGCCACAATCCACTGCAGGTCAAACAGTGCTTTGTGCGTGAATCTTGAGGCCGGCTGAAAAGAAAATGCATGTGACGCAGGATTGTAAATTACAATTGAATTGAAATACACAGTACAGTGCACCTTGTTACAAAGCAAAACAGATTTTCAGATGAAACTTAAGGTGTATTAATGTTTATCCCAGACCTCTCTTGCGTTATGACAGTGTAGCTCTTGATTCGGGTAAACTAGTTACAGGTCACTTGGGACTTGTCTGTCCCAACAGCTGTCCTTTTCCAATTAAACTCCCTCTTGAAGGTTTACTTCTTTAAGGCCCACAAAATGTAAATCAACAACAATATTACTAGTCAAGGCATGTTGTCCTTTCAGTGTTTCCCCATGTACTCGGTTTTGCTTTGAACCAAATTAGTAAAGCAGGGACTGAATTTTCTGTGATACAAAGCATATGATCAGTATTTCAACAATAGCTAATTCTAAGTAGTAGTTCAGACATTACTAAGAGGTAGTTAAACATTTCTTCAAGTTATTAATTGGTTCAGCCTGCTGTGTGATAAGTGTGCTTTCACTTTCTTCTGTTAAAGAAGAATCATCCTTTTCTAGGCAGGTTCTGTTGTAGAAGAACCATCATTTTCACAGGATTCTCTACAGCGCAGAACAGTTCAGCTTCTATTGAAGTTGATATAAAAGTGTTTAGAAGCATGTGGAAAGATCACAAGACCAGGCAGGTCTGGGCCGTTGATGACATTATTAAAAACCATTCATCATGGGGGTTCTGCTTCTCATGAGGAAGTAGATAGGCACAAATAATTCAAGGGAATCTCATCAAAGACTGCATGTTAGTAATCTGGTCTTTTAGAAGCAAAGACTATTTAATATACTTCAGAGCTAAGGAGGAAGAACAACTCCTAATGAAATTATAGAACTAAAACAGAACAAACGAAAATAGTGTAAGAAAATAAAAGAATTAAGAGCTTGATGTTCTGTGGCAGAAGAGCACTATAAACTGCTTATCAATACCAGAGTTGATGATAATTCCTTATGGTTGAAAGGTATGAAAACTTGCAACAAGTAATAAAATAGCTTAATGTATGTGTTCATCTTTATGATGAGTGAGTGTGGAGCATTTCTAAATCATCTCTCTTTCGGGGTGACTAAAATGGTATTTCTGTAGCATCTGCAATTCACAACAGGGAAATAAAATTGCTGGGAAAAAACCCCAAACTGACAGTTTTTAGCATCAGTAAAGATTTAATGAATAATCTCTTCCTCATCACAATCAAATCTTATCTTAGATTAAGGACTGTATGGATTGTTTTCATCACCTGAGGCAAATATGGACATTATTTCACAGCCAATATTGGGTACATTTTTGAAAACAAAACTCATTCTTATTTTTGTAGAACAGCTCAGTTCCCTCATGTCAGGGGAGCCTGAACTGGCTGTAACTATTGTCTGCAGTATAAATGCTAACTTCACCCTGGAGGAACGGAGCTGCTGCCAGTAAATAGCAGTAATTCCCTCCCTGGCTGATAGCTGTTGAAGCCTGTTGTTTCCCAGGATGAGCAAAGATGCTGTTAGCGCTACCTCTTCTGAACTTTGCAGCCTCCTTTGAGTCACTCCGTGATCCGCAGTTTGAGTTGTACTGTTCCAGAGAATGGATTTCTGCACACTGCCATGTAAACAACCCATCCTTAGTCCACTTCCCTTTAGTTCTTGCCAATCTATATTGAAAGTCATTGTCTGCTAAGACTGGAATTCTGCTCTCAGCTGTTTGCTTACTACAAATGTTAATGTATTTAAGAAACCTCAGACAGTTTAATGATCAAAAGTACTATAAGTTCCTCTTGGTATCCTGGCAAGCATAGGAAGTCATATGAAAAGACATTTTCAAACGCTTATGTTTGTGTATGCAGTAATCTTTCTCCATAGGTAACTGTACTGTGTATCCTGCAGAGGAAGGTTAAGCAAACTACAAATCCAAACAATATACTCTGGGTCATGTATTTAGCTAAGTGTAATAGTATTATGCTACATATTCAAACATGACTTAGAGATTTCATATATGCATTAATTAAAATACATAAAAAATTAATACCAGATTATGCATTAGCATTGTTTAAAAAAACTAAATGCAAAAGAGTACAAAAGCTTATGAAATAATGCCTAAAAGTTTCTGTAACACCAATTAAAAACTTCTTGGTGATGATATTGTATACAATTCATGGCCAGCAAAATTTGAAAATAAACAAAACCACAGGAAACTGTACTTGCAAAATTCTTGAATAAATGATTGATACTTTCCATGTACAGCTTAAGGGTAAACTTTTTATTGTGGAGGTTCAGTTGCTCTGTTCTGTTGATACTAATGAGTTGGTTTGTTAAGTTTGCCCCTTAGAGCACTGTAGATTAATGAAAAAATACTCTGCTTGATGTATACTACATTTTGGGTACTTTCAGACTGCCCAGATTTTTCCTGCATACTTTCAGCCTGCTACAAAGTGATTTATTTGGATGTTAGTACTGTGAGACAGTCTACATGAAATCTTTCATTGTTTCATAGTTCATGTAGTGTTTGACAAATATAAATTTAAGGTGTTGCAACTTAATATACGTTTCTGTCTGAAATTGATTCTTCCTGGCATTTCTTGACTACTAGTTACAATATTGTGTAGCCTATAACTTACAATGCACAAGAAAATTCAGAAGCTCTCTTGTTTTGTGCAGATATCGAGCAGTAAAGTGTAAGTAGAGGTCAGTAGAGCGACTTGTGTGTAAGCACACCCCAATCACTGATCAGATTGAACTGCCATAAACTCCTCCAAAACAGATAAAGACTTAGGATGTATCTTCAGTGTCATGCTGCTACACTCCCTATTGCACATTAAAGTCCTAATTCTGCAACTGTCCATGCTGTATACAGCTAATGAATACCCTTGCTCCATTCTGGGGTAAACATGGTGACTTCCTAGCCAAAGATAGTTCTGGAAATTAGTACATACCAGACATGTGGCTCACTCTCTTCCCTTGTATTCTCAATTAAGATGGCACAGCACTCCATGCAGCTTCTTACCCTTTCATACAAACCAACATCTGCACACACTACAAAGAGATATGCCTGGTGAAGTGCGAGCAGCGCTCTCAGTGTGCACCTCAGAGAAGCAGTGGTGTGTGCACAGAGGAGCTCAGTGCCTGCAAGGGCCATGTGGTTATCCACATCTTCAGTGGTATAGAAATCTATTGGCAGCAGTATATGGAGAGAGTGAAACAAACAGTATCAGTTAGGATTGAAGAAACTGAAAACTGCCTGTGAACATGGAACTGACAGTTTCCTTACCTGTGAAACCCATGGGTAAGATGGGTCTGACCATCTGTGGTCAGTGCCAAGGCCTATGCTGCTATCATGGCGCTGTGGAGGACCCTCTGCTTACAGATGGCCCCAAAGACATCAAAGATGACAGACATGAGGCTGAGCTGTGGGTGTAAGGAGCTTGTGCATTTTCAAGGCCAAAAGTGTTATGGAGTCTGTCACATTTTTCTTTTCTCATATTTGTATCCCATATGTTCAGTGTGTCTTAATTTTCCATGTTCTGGTAGCTGCTTTGGTAGTGATCCTTTAGGTAGGTCATTCTTCTGAGATGTGAGACTTTACATAATTGTATTCACTAATGGTAAACTTTGTACTGATCCTCTGAACTATTTTTTTAGTATCTTAACTGAGGAAAAACAACTATTAAAGAACGTGGTAATAAGAGAAGCAACGAGATAACGCTACTGAAAATACTATATAAGACTGAGAAAATACAGTGCTCTTCCTGAAGAAAGCTTAGATATATGACATGCATGTTAATGCTTCCTTATTTTTTTTTTTTTCTGAAGGATCGCCGCTTTAATGATGAGATTGACAAACTTACTGGATACAAGACAAAGTCACTCTTGTGCATGCCCATAAGAAGCAGTGATGGAGAGATTATTGGTGTTGCCCAAGCAATAAATAAGACTCCCGGAGGTGCCCCTTTTTCTGATGATGATGAAAAAGTAAGTGTACCTTTACTTTTGTGTTGGTGTTTGGTTTTTTTTATTATTATTTCTTTTGTAACTCAGTAGACTTTTCTGAAGATACTTAATTCAAATAAGTAAATGGCATAGCTCTTGTGTTAATGATGTTTCTTTAAGTGTGTTTTAACTTCAGCTGGCAACTAAGCGTCACACAGTTGCTTTGCTCGCTCCCTCTGGCTGGGGTAGGGGAGAGAATAAGAAGAATAAAACTGAGAAAACTCATGGATTGAGATAAAGATAGCATAACAGGTAAAGCAGAAGCTGCATGCCCAAGCGAAGCAAAACAAGGAATTCATTCACCACTTCCCATCAGCAGGCAGGTGTTCAGCCATCTCCAGGAAAGCAGGGCTTCATCACACATAACAGTTATTTGAGAAGACAAACACCATCACTCTGAATGTACTCCTCTTCCTTCTTCCCCCAGCTTTATAGGCTGAGCATGATGTCTTATGGTCTGGGACATCTCTTCAGTCACTTGGGGTCACTTGTCCCAGCTATGTCCTCTTCCATCTTCTTGTGCACTCCCAACCTAGTCACTGGTGGGTGGTGTGAGGATCAGAAAAGGCCTTGACTGTGTGAACACTGCTCAGCAATGATGAAAACATCTGTTCCCAACACGGTTTTCGGAACAAATCCAAAACATGACCCCCATACCAGCTACTACGAAGAAAACTAACTCTATCCTAGCCAAAACCAGCACAAAGTGCTTAACATAAAATTTACATTTTTGCTGTTCTCAGCATAAAATGTGCATTTGTTCTGTAAATGTGGCAGATCTTGTGGCTGAAAGTTCAACTTAATGGTCTCTAAATTTTATGTAGACTTTTGTCATACAACAGAGAGACTTACTTATTTTTGAAAGCTTACCTGTAAGAATAAGTTCGGGGGGTAGGGTGGGGAGTGGGTGCGGGGACGGAAACTGTCACAGAGATGCTTCTAAGCTTGCTGACTTTAGAAATCACCACATTTTTAGTGCTTTTCATGGGATAAATGCCCATAGCATGTGCAAAAGTAACTTTATTTTAGAGGTTATACATATACAACTTTATGCTATCCTGAAACATAGGAGACTTACCAGTGCCCATGAAAGGACAAAGAGGGCAGGAAGGGGACACTAGGTGTGTATATGAAGTGAAATGTGTATGAGTTCAAAAGGCAGGGGAATAGAGGGAGCCACAAAGAAGCAACTTGTATTATAAAAGTGGGGAAAACATGGTGCTGTTAAAGGCAGATGCATACAGCTGAGTGTGGAGGGAAAATGTGTGTGAAGCAAAAAGATGACTGGGGAAGAGAATGGTAGAGGGCAGCAAGCTAGGGAGGAACAGAACAGCAACTCTCTCCCCAGGAGAGAGAAATAGTGTTTCCTTCAAGTATGTAATAGGGAAATACACTTCTGTGCATTAAAGTAGTGTTGAATCTCATTTTTGTGGAAGTGTACATAGAGGCAGACTTTGCTCCTGGAAGCTCTTTATGTTGATTCAAAAGCAGTTAATGTTTGCAGAGCCATGGATGATGTATCACATACATGTTGACATGTATGTGCTATGACAGATGTTAAGTAATGCCTGTTGGAATGGGGAAATCCTGTCACATTGGTTCATCGAAGTAAATGGAGATGGTTTCTGGAATCAAGATATCTTGACATGAAAAAATGTGTTATAAAGCTAAACAGTAGTTTATGAAGGCTGTGAAATATTGCATGAATCAAACTTCCATAGAAACCATAGGAATTGTATTTTTGAAGTTTGTATTACAGTATTATTTTTATTTGTTATATACTTCCAGCAACAAATATGGAGCATTGTGCATAACCATTTCATAGTCTGAAACAATTGTTTGGTGAGAATAAGAATCTTTATACAAATGATGACTGTTAATAGCATCATACTCTGGTTTGCTATGCAGTGGGAGTAATTCAAAATTGATTGCCTTTTTGAAATTTCAGTAAGGAACCTTTTGCAGTCCAGGTAGGAATCTTTGCCAAGTGAAATATTAGCAAGTGGATGCATTAAAGTTGACAGTAAAAAGGAGTGCTGATTATTTTTATACTTTGTATTAGATATCAGATGATTTTTGCTCACAATTCTTTCTATTGAAAGACAAATGGAGGTCTTCTAGCAGTTATTCTTAACAACACCTACTTGCATGTGAAGAATCAGCTTGCTTGCTGTGTGCCACTGTTGGCTTTTGGTGCTTTTCCTAAATTTATTTCAACATTATATTCTCTTCTGATATGCTTTTGAGCTGCTTATTAACTTCTTGTTAACCTTCAAACTTCAGATTCTTAAGACCTAGACATTTGTATCCAAGTTTAAATATTAAACATTTTTGGATTAGAATTTCTTTAAAATTCTTTAAACAAAATAAAGGAGCTGGAGGATAAATTAGGCAAAAAGTAAGAAAGCTTATGGTTTGAGAGACTAACAATACAGATGGTTCAGCTCCATAGTTGTACTGTAGAGTGAGCTTTTAAAAATTTATGAATACCAGCTAAATTGTGGTTACTATTCACACCTACTCTATTGGTAAATCTATAAAACTGAAAAATTAATTACAAGAACAGTGCTCACTGCAGTGTGTATGTATATCTGGTATCATCTCTTGGTTAGATTTTTTTCTTCTAAAGGTGTGTTGAATAACCCGGAAGAAAGTCACAGTCCTATCTCTGGCAGTGTTGCCTATTCTAGCATCACAGTAAAGACAATTTTTTCTATAAAAAGCTTAAACTTTTTTCCATAAAAATAATTAGCTTCTAATCCTTTTTTGCAAGGTGTCTGTGTAACTGATTCTGTATACTGATTTAGTTTGAACTAAACTTTTAAAATAACTCTCAATTTCAGATGCTATTTTTTAAAACATCTGAAATGACCCAGCACCACTTAAATTGTTTCTTTAAGTTACCTAAACTTGTGTAACATTAGTTTGCTGCAGAATTACTTTAGATTCTTGAAAATCTTGGATGTTGAATATTGATTTATTAGCAATACAAATGGGTAATGGCTACAACGGGTAGCCAAATGTGAATTAAACAAAATGAGACCTTCTCTGAATACCTTTTTTTCTGCACTTTTTCTTAGTACTCTATGTCTGTGTAAAGGGAATTTTATTTAAAATGCAGCTTCTGCCATGGATACTACATTTGATTTAGTGTACGTTCAACTAGCAAAACAACTGGGTGTACATGCAAATTGTGCATTACATAAACATGTTAATGTAAATATTTGATGTCAGTACTGAGGCTGTGGCATTTGCTTCCATTCAGTGACTGCTAAATATTATCTAAAATCCAGAAGTTGCCCATAATTTAAGTGCCATCTTTATTTTTACTAGTCATTTATAGCACTACTATAATTATAAGCCTGTATGTCAGAACTCTTCAAGAATATATTAAATGGGTTCTCACACATAGAGTTTATGGAAAAATAAATGAGAACATAACCATTATTGTTCCCCTGTAAGAGATCTTAGATTTAATGAGGCCTGGCAGTCCGCATGCTGTTATTTCCAAATCTGTGCTAAGTTTCTTCAATCCCTGATAACCTAGAAAGCGTGATATACCTCTGGGAAGGAAGAGGCCACACACTTCTAGGAGAATGTCTTGAAGGATTAGAAAGCAGGTTTTTTATTGTAGTGTCAGCAAAAATGGCTGTGAGGAAAGGGGGCAAGTAAAAACTGGGAAATCCTTTTCAAAATAAGAAAAGACCTACCTGGGTATTGAGGTGGTGTGTGCAGAGAAGCCTGATGAGTAGGTGGCAAAAGACAAAAAATAAGCTTTATGTTGATTTTATAATTTCTGACAATTAGCAGCTTCAGAATGGTTAGAAAATGTAAATTATTCCTTCTGTTCCTCCTCCTCCCCCAAGCCCTCTTAAAGAAACGTCAGTATCATGTAAAGTCTGGTTGTTTGCAAGTGTGTATCCTCTTAGTATTGTGTGAAGCAATTAAAATAATCTTTTTGTTTGTTTGTTTTTTGTTTTTACAAAGATACAAGGTTATATTATATAATGAAATGTCACTTGGGGGCACTACTGTCTTGAGTCAATAGGAAACAAAGAATTATGTTTTCAATTAGAATTAAGTAGATGTTAGCATCATTTTTATGTACTCTTAGTTATTTTCGGGAAGTTAAGAGCAAATAAAATATTTAAGGTTTGAGGAATTTTTAATACTCCCAAGCTGTAACCAAGTTTATGTTTTGCAATATGTAAAATGAAGTATAAGATTTCAAAGTTTTTCTCATCTTTTTTTTTCATGGAAAATTTTCAGGTTTTTCTCTTACATCT